TGCTAAATTATATGTCACAATAAAAAATATATGTTAATTAAACTGGTGAAATACTAACTTTATGCCATGATATTTAAAGCATAAACCCAATTCCTACAATATCTTTTACTATCCAATTATTGGTGTAGGCTGGAAAAGAGAGAGCAATGCAGCTGGAGAGGGATAGTTGTATAATTGCTTCATGTAAATTACTTGGGCTCCAAGACCAGATCCTGCCTGAATCTATAGATATATTATTCTAAATATTTATTTTATTTTATTTTTATTGGAATGTCAGATATACAGAGAGGAGGAGAGACAGAGAAAAAGATCCGTTGATTCGCTCCTATTGCCACAACGCCTGGAGCCATGCCAATCCAAAGCCAGGAACCTGGAACTTCTGGGTTTCCCATGTGGGCACAGATTCCGAAGGCTTTGGGCAATCCTCAATTGCTTTCTCAGGCCACAGCAGGGAGCTGGATGGGAAGCAGGGCTGCTGGATTAGAACTAGCACCCATATGGGATCCTTGGAGCATGTGAGGTGAGGACTTTAGCTGCTATACTATCACGCTAAGCCCCATAGATATTATTGTTACACTGTGGTAGAAACCCACTTCATCATTGTGTAAGTTTGTTGACTTTCAGTTCGTGATGTGATGCTTAGGTCACATGATATTAGCAATCCTTAGTTATTCTCTACTATGGCTCAATAACAAACAAAATACTGTCTCTTGAAAGAAAAGTAGTTACTTACTGAGTAGGACAGGGATTTGAGACAAACTTTCAATAATATATGCTGCTATTTATTTATAGAAGCCTACTTGGGACTAGGATAAAATCCGTTTACACAGGCTGTTACGCACTACTGTATGTGCAACATGATGAGCAGATGCTGAATTTCTTTGCAGCATTTCTATCCCACGAACACCTCACTCAAAACTAGTAATGTTTTTTGGTGAATGAGCTGGAATAGTCTACACAAATGAGCAATGCATTCATTCTCCAATTCAAGGATGCCTTTCAGGGAATGTGCCTTCATTTTTGGTTGTAGGAGAGACCAGACTTATCCTTACTTCAGGAAGCTTCTATCAACATCATCCATGTAACTGGATCTCTCAACATGGCATTGTGATGGAAGTCCCTTAAATTATTATCATTTTTATTTCCTGCCATTGGAAAAACAAAATATTTTAATGACAATTACAAAATATTTGCTACTTTTATTTGCTAGGCTCAATCAGCAAATCATCTCTGTAACAAGTCAATGATATGTCTTGAAGAAGGAAAGGTAATGAAGATTTCTGTTAACTTAATAGTGACACTAATTTAAAGAGTGATTCTAACACTAAAATAAAGCAATAAGTAGATTACTGCTACATGCAGAGTATTTCTGCTGCTTTTAATTACAAATAAAAATCATTTCAAAGATCAATAGCTAAATATTAGACATCATGGAATACATTAACTTTCTTGAGTACTCAAACCACATCTGGTCCACATTGTATTCTGCAGTTGTGTGTGTGTTACTATTCGTTATGCATTCTAGAATTAAGGAAATGCCTTGGAATGGATTTGGGGATTCAATGCATGCACTCAGACAGTCATAAGCTAAAGCTGCATTGACCATGTGGCATCTAGGATTCTTAATTGTGAGTAATGAACTACAGTGATGCTAGGAGCTCCTAGAAATGACAATTTAGAGCAATTACCTAATAAGCCTTGAAAATATGATTATTTATTTTCCCCATTTCATAGGCATTCTGGTAAATATGTATAATTCATTTTTAGTACCTTAGATCATAATTAACAATACAAATTTTCAGCAGTATATCTCTTCCCACAAGGGATCTGACAGGCTCTTCAGCCAGAAAGTTCTCTTTTTTTTGACACTTGTTTTTTAATTGGTGTGGGTAATTTGCAATATTCATAAGATGATATCCACTTTTTATTTTTAAATGAAATATAATTAGAAAGTTTTACTTCAGTTCAACTATAGAAATTCATTGATTATATGATTTAAGTTAGGGCTCTTTTTACTTCTGCTACCTGTATGTTTGTACACATCAGGGAAGAATTTATCCAACCTCCCATCATACTTTACTTTTAGTTAGACTGCTAATAAGTGAAATAATTCTATATATGTGATTTAATCTATGATCATTATTGTCTGATTTCCATTGTGAAACCATGGCAAAAAAAAAAAAAAACCATAGCCACCCTGGCAATTGAATGCTCCCATGTGGCTCTTCCATCTGTAAGCCCAGTCATTACCATTGTGTCTATGGTTCCTAATTCAATGGCACCATAACCTCTTAACTACAGGTAAGACTCACTATAAACCTCTTTAAAATATATGCAAATCTATTTAGTATTCACAGATTCAATATTGATAGAAATAATCCATGTAAATTGCCTCTCTATTAAACTGGTAGACAGTTTTATCATTATTCTATAAATAATATTATATTAAAAACTATGTATTTATATCTATAATTATATGGAAATGCAATGATTGCATTGTTTTGAATATCTTAGGTGACACATTATTTAAAACATGCAAGAGGAGATGCATACATAGTAGGAGAAAATTTTTTATATGCAGGATTTGGAAATTTCCAAATTTTGCTATCTCCAGAGGACTCTGGCACATGAAAGATGGTTGTACTCGAGTCCAGTTAAGTCAGGAAGCAGAGATAGTGTCTGGATAAATCATGGGGAAATTTAGGAGATTTCTGCAAAGCAAATACCTGGCAGAGGCTACTGTTGGTACTTACAGCAGAGTAAATCACCTAAGATAGAAATAGGAACAGTTTTGTGATGGCAAATTCAGTTTTCCAGTAACTCCAACTTGCTCAGAATCTTCTCATACACGCCTTCCTGTTCTTTTGTGTTTTATCCGGCACAATGCCCTCACTTAGAGATTGGGAGTTCTGATCAATTTGTAATATAATTTGGCCACTAATAAGATGAGATCTTGGTTTAGCTTTTAGACATCTATGTTTATAATTCACAAAAAGACAATACTCTTCATTACATACATAGAAAATTTCAGATTATTTATGTTTTATTTGAGTTAGGAATTAGAACCCTAAATTCTTCTTTTGCTTTCATTACTTTGTCTATCAAATAACAGCAGGTAGACAATTTCACTATACTACTATTTAACATGAATATTTTAGCATACTGAATGTATAGCTAGCCAAAACTTCTTCCCTATCTGGTAACTCCTGCATGATGGCCTGGTGGGTAAAGTCCTCACCTTGTGTGGACTGGGATCCCATGTGGGTGCCAGTTTGTACCCCAGCTGCTCCACTTCCCTTCCAGCTCTGTGTTTATGGCATGGGAAAGCAGAAGAGGACAGCCCAAAGCCTTAGGATGCTGTACACATGGGGAAGACCAGAAGAAGCTTCTGACTTCTCACTTCAGGTCAGCTTAGTTCTAGCTTTTGTGGCTACTTGGGAAGCGAACCAGTGGACAGAAGATCTTTCTCTCTGTATCTCCTTCTCTCTGTAAACCTGGCTTTCAATAAAAATGAATGCATTTTTAAAAAAGTATGCAGTAGCATTATGGTTCATGTCTTTGTTGGTATATCATATCATTGTCTATCAATGTTCCACCTACTGCTGGAAAAGAAGGCAAGATTATCACTGCATGCAGCTCCATTAGGGAAATAGCTCCAGAAGTCAGAGACACACTCCCTCTTTAACTCTGTTTCAAATAAAAATATTTTAAAAATTCTTATATCCTGAGCATTTATATGCATTCCCCTACAATATACCAATCAACTTCTAATCTTCCAGTTTTTCTATATGGCAATCAAGCAAAGCTTTAGAAACCTTCCTGAACTTTTCGGCTTCAATACTAAATCCATAGTCTCTGCTTAGGAATTTATTTAGTCAGTTAAACCTTTCTAGCCTGAACTGCTAGTCACCTTGATCTCTTACCCTGACTATTTTATGCCAATACTTTCCAATGACTGTTACCTACTTAAATCAGAAAAAAAAAAGCAACATGTAGCTCGTTTCTTGTGTAATGCATCATATTGTAGATTGCATTTACTTCAATTTTGAAGGCTGCTGAGGTTCAAGTCAAATTTCAGGTTTTAATGCACAGGTTAGTAAGGATAGTTCCTGTAGAAATTCAACCACTGGGTTAGTCCTTGAGGAAATTCAGCAAATGATACCATATTTTGGATACTATAGTTTGGGAGTCTATTACAAATTTTTAGACAAAGAAAGATTCCAATGAATGTCCTTAGACAAGGACAGAAAAACTACTTGCATTGAAATACAAAATGCTACAGAATTTAGAGATTCAATGCCCCTAGCTTCAGTGACATATTCCATTCTGTCATGCTGATGTCTGAATGTTTCCCTCACCCCTTAAAATTTGGGAAAATTCTAAACCCCAAGATGATGCTACAAAAGGACAGGAAACTTTGGGCAGACAATTACTACATGAAGAAAGAGACCTTATGAATGGGATTAGTTTCTCATAGCATACTATGGTTGAAGCTTTTTTGTGAAGACACGGATTTCCGAACTATTAAATAAGTCTTCTCCAGACACTGATTCCGGCACTGTCTTGATCTTAGACTTCTTAGTCTACTGAATTGTAAGAATAAATTCCTGTTGTTTTAAGACACATGATCTATGGTATTTTTTGTAGAAGTCTAGACAGAATAACATATATACCCTTTCCATATCTAAGGTCCTTCTCATGGGTTAAAACAAAACTTGATTCTTTTTTTTAAGATTTATTTTTATTATTATTATTATTTAATTGGAAAGGTGGATATACAGAGAGGAGAGACAGAGAGGAAGATCTTCCATCCGATGATTCACTCCCCAAGTGAGCGCAATGGCCAATGCTATGCCGATCCGAAGCCAGGAGCCTCTTCCGGGTCTCCCACGCGGGTGCAGGATCCCAAAGCTTTGGGCTGTCCTGGACTGCTTTCCTGGGCCACAGGCAGGGAGCTGGAAGGGAAGCGGGGCTGCCGGGATAGAACCGGCGCCCATATGGGATCCCGGGCATGCAAGGCGAGGACCTTAACCACTGCACCACCGTGCCAGGCCCAAAACTTGATTCTTCACTCTTTTGTGCTAGTCATCATTTGAATTCTTCAGGGAGTGTTGGTTAAGGTAGGCTCTGTGGAAATACAGCTGTGTCTCAGAAATCACAGAGGGAATTGCATGTTCTTGTGGACAACCAAGATGATCAGTTCTTATAAACTCAAAAGTATGTTTCTAATGACAAAGGATTCAACAAAATTTAGGGACTGATACTTTATAGCTTGAGAGCATATGGAGATCCCCACTTCCACTGAAACTCATTCAAGTGTTTTATTTCTAGTGTCAGAATTATATTCCTCTTCACTCAATGCCTAACTTTGAAAAGGTGACTTTGTAAGTTTGGAAATTTCATTTGCATTCTAATTAAGTCACTTGCAAACTGTGACTTTGGTTTTATTTTTTTCAGAAATCTTGACCTTATACCTATAGGACACAAAGGTTTTGCTTAGGACGGTCAGACGTTTTTAAGTCTTTCGTGAGGTCTTGAGCTGGGAATTGAAGGTCCTAAGCCTATCAACTTCTCTCCCTATGTTCTTCAACAAAGATAGATTCATCTAACTACCTGACCAATTCCCTTATGCATTATTTATTTTACTTAAAATATTCCAGGATCACACAGAGCTCTGACTTCTATAAGTACTTGATTACAAATTTGGACTAATTTGGTAATTCAAAAACTTTCTTTTTTCCTATGCTATAGCTCACCAATGCCTTCTCTTTCATTAGAAAAAAAAAAGAAAACAATTTTATGTCTAATCTGGTCAAATATTCAATCCTAGAATTCTTAACACCAGTATAAACACACATACAGAAACACCTGTATGCATGTAAATGTAATTTATATTTGATAGATCTAAGACAAGTTGAGCCTAAAATATGACTTTTGAAGGGATGCTCCCTTAACTATATTGTCCCCTAGTTGGGTTTCCTTGGGAAACTCCAGAAACTCAAAGCTTCCTCTCTGAAATTTCCTGTCCTTTCCCGCCCTAGGCTTTACCAGATTCCAGCTTTAAAACTATGGTCATAATTATTAGTGTTCTTTCCCCAGCAGAATTGTTTAAAGTTGGTCATTTAGGCATAAAAGGAACTAAATAAATGTAGAAGATATTGAAATCTAAACTGGACAACAGCTGGAACATAAATGTCAGAGCCTGTCCAACCGTGAGGGGTCCTCTGAAAAAGGAAAAGCAGTCTAGTGCCTAACGTACTAAACTTTAACAGAAATGGTTTGATCCTAAGCCCTACTAACAAATATTGTCCTCAGAGATGATTGTCATATCAACTTTAACTCCATAATCTATAACATTTTCCTCTTATACATAAAAGGTAGGATACACATAAATAGCAGAATGACAGACTTGTGACTGTTTTGGAGGGACTGTACTATTGTAATAATATAGGAGAAATCAGTAGGGGAAGAGGATGTGGATAATGGGGAAGGAGGGAGGGGGAATCTCCGAGCTCATGCAACTGTATCATTAAATAAATAAATTTAAGAAAAAAAAAAGGCTCATACTTGTGCCTGCATTGTTGGTGAATCATATGAATAAACCCTTTCTCTTCTCAAAAGTGAGATATCACAGGTTGATTCTTAGATCATTATCAGGCAGTGAACCCTCCTCACACAGTAATAATTGGGTCTAAAACATAAATATACTCTGACAACTGTTTTTTGACTAGAGGTTGTGCACATACTTCTCTATGCTCAGTTTGTCTAGAAAAAACCAACAAATGAAACAAAAGTAAGCAACCACTTGGGGGGCCTATTTCTGGCATAATTTTATTTTTGACTACCAAGATACATAGGCATATTTCATTTAACATTCCTGAAAATAAAACTGTGACCTGTGTTCAGTTTTAAGTATCAACCAATCAGATTAACCATTTTCCACCTAATTACATCTTTATGCTTCTTATTGGCATAGTGGACATGAGTAAAAATCTGGGCAGAAACATTCTCTTTAAAAGCCAGCCTCTGGGACCTGAGGTGATAGCATAGTGGTTAAAGTCCTCACCTTGCACATTCCAGGATCCCATATGATCTCCAGTTCTAATCCCAGTGGCCCTGCTTCCCATCCAGCTCCCTGCTTGTCACCTGGGAAAGCAGTCCCAAAGAATGGGAACCCTGTACCCGCGTGAGAGGCCCAGAAGAGCTGCTGGCTCCTGGCTTCTGATCAGCACAGCCCTAGCCATTGCAGTCACTTGGTGAGTGAACCATCTGACAGAAGATCTTCCTCTCTGTTTCTCCTCCTCCCTGCGTATCTGCTTTTCCAATAAAAACAAAACAAACAAATAAATAAATAGATAAAAAAGCCAGCCCCTGGTAGAATCAAGATGATGGAATAAGATAAAGACATATTTAAACAGAGAATTGGTAGTCAGGGTGAAGCAGAGAGGGCACAATCCATGAACTAGGAGAGGAATGACTGACGGCAGAGGGGCAACTGGAGACTGATGGGCACAGGAAAGTAGCAGAAACAACAGCATGGTTTTGCAGCGACCAGAAACTCCAGTGGCAGTTAGTCAGCAGCAAATTGAGCTCCACTCTTTGCCAGAGCTCCACCAGCAGCCAGATAGGAAGCAGAGTTCACCATGAGTTCAGCAGGTGAACCCAAGCAAAAAACTGTCCATTCTACTGGTTTGTTTGATTCAAAAGGAGCAGATACAGCAGTAGCAGATCCCAAACAGATGGTGTAGGAACAGGGGGGATTTCACAGCCCAGACCCTCACCAGAGCCACATTACGTACCCATTTCTGTAGGGAGGCAACGCTTATAAGAAAGGACTGCACATGCACTAAACTGGGAATGGATATATTTCTGCTCAGTGCATGGCACTAATGTGGCATCCTCTAGGATCCACTAAAAATAGGTCTGGGTAACCCCCAGACTTAATGGCCAGCAGATCCAGAACTTCACCAGTGGCATATCAGGTGCCATTTTTTACAGTGTGACAAAGACTGCAGGGATTAATTGTGGCCTGGGAAACCAGTTGAGGATGACCTAAAGTCTTGGAACTCTTTGTGTGGGAGAGCTGGAAGAAGCTCCTGGCTCCTAGCTATGGTTCAGCTCCAACTCAATTCCACCCATTGTGGCCACTTGGAGAGTGAATCAATGGACAAAAGATCCTCTCTGTCACTCCTCCACTGTGTATATCTGACTTTCCAATAAAAAAAAAATTGAAGGACAACAGTGAGTTATACATCTGTTGAGCTGGAGATAATAGGCAGCAGGTTCTGGCAATATCAGCACCACCAACAACCTAGCTATTTAGGACATCTGGTGTCTCCCTAATCCTTGGAATGGCTCAACCCAGAAGTGGGAGAAACTTTGTATAGATAATAGTGCAGTCAGAGCATGGAATGAAAGCAGGGGGAGAATAGAAAGCCAGGAACTGGGGCTACAGAGACCGTGGTGAATGTCTAACACAGGGCACAGATGTGAGACTGGCTGGAAAGAGTGGTGCAGAGATTGCAAAGAAAGAGCCACATACCAACCACAGTACGTAAAATTGAAATGTAGACCTGTGGGTGACACAGCTTAGAAACTTTCACTAAGGAGAAGTATCTGCTAACCAGAACTATAATGACCAAGGGCAAAAGAAAAGACAGGGGCCCAATGAATATTATTAAAGAATCTCCTGCAAAAGAACAAAAGCATTTGCCAACCTCAGAGTTAACTGAGGAATATTTAGAGAAAATGGAGGATACAGAATTCAAAACACTTGTTAAAAAGCTTCATATCAACAATGAAAAGCACATGCAATGATTTAAGGAATATGTCACACAGGAAATAGCAATACTGAAACAAAATCAAGCCAAATCCTGGGAAATGAAGGATGTGATATAACAAATTTAAATGTCAGTGGAAAATTTCAATAACAGAATGAAGGAGGCAGAAGAAAGGATCTCAGAATTGGAACATACTTCTTGTCACAATGGGGAAGCAATAAAAAACCTGGAAGCAGAGCTGGGTCAAGCTAAAAAAAGTATTCAAGAATAAAAGCCATTATTATAACACAGAATATAAGAGTTATGCAGAAAAAAGCTGAATTTAAAAATGTATTTAATGAAATAATAAGAGAAAATTTCCCCAATCTAGAGAAAGAATTGGGAAACAACATCCAGGATGGGTGCAGAACTCCCAACAGGATTGATCAAAAGCAATCTTCACCACAACACATGATAATCAAGTTCTTTTCAATTGAACCTAAGAAAAAGATCCTTAAATGTGCACATGATAAAAACCAATTGACATATGGAAGAATGACAGACTCACAGCAGACCTATCAGAGGAAACTCTACAAACCAGAAGAAAATGAAGTGACATATTCCACATTCTAAGAGAAAAAAATTTGTCAGCCCGAATTAACGTACACAGCAAAGCTTTCCTTTGTCTTTGTAAATGAAATAAAATTCTTCCACAGTAAAGAAACACTCGAAAAATACATTTCTTCCAGAACTGCCCTACAAATGATGCTTAAAGATGTTCTCTAGATAGAGAAAAGGATTCACACCCACCAAAATCAAAGCCAAATGTGAAGAACATCCAAGTAAAATTACAACAGAAGACTAAATCAAACAATGAACATCCCATTGCTAAAATGACAGGACCAAGTTACAACCTGTTCATATTAACCCTGAATGCAAATAGTTTAAATTCATTAATCAACTGTCATAGATTAGTAGACTGGATTAAAAAAACAAATCCCAACTATTTGTTGCCTACAGGAGATACAGCTCACCAACAAAGATCAGCAGAAACTGTATATCATGTATTTTGTTATTTTTATTTGCAATTTCATTTTTCAAGGACATTTTCATCATTAAATTATTCACTGTCATACCATAGCATTATTTTCTTAAAGAAGATTCTTGATTTTCTTTTTTCATTTCTTCAATGACACATTAATCATTCAGTAACATTTATTTAACTTTATGTGTAGTAAATTTGTATTTTTCTTCCTGTTGTTGATTTTGCTTTGTTGCTTTTCATTGAAGGGAGTGTACAGTAACTGCGTAATGGAGACTATCATATCCAGCTGTGAGAATACAATGCAGTCTGCATCTCTGTTTCCA